GCATAGAAGAAACTCACCTTGGAAGGTATCTTGCTATTTGAACCCAAAGATCAAGATCAGGATCTTCCCTTATTTATATAATCTAAATATCTGTACTTTATTTTCAAGCTTTCAGAGACCTGGAATGTCACTGCTTTATGGTAGCCATTGGGCTTGACTTTACATGGAAATTTGGCTTTTGCAAGTCTATCCTTAGCCTCTCTTTTCTTCTCTGTTTTGAAAAAGAATGGTTCACTTTGCAAATAGACACAAATAATTAATTTTCTATTTAAAAACCTACCTATAAAATAAAGAAAGAAAAGAAGATTTTTTTTTTAAAGATGACCGGTAAGGGGATCTTAACCCTTGACTTGGTGTTGTCAGCACCACGCTCACCCAGTGAGCTAACCGGCCATCCCTATATGGGATCCGAACCCGTGGCATTGGTGTTATCAGCACCACACTCTCCTGAGTGAGCCACGGGCTGGCCCATCCTTACCCGTTATCTTTAAAAAAAAAAGAAAGAAACCTACACCTAGAGACAGACCCTGAAGGACCTTTTGTCCCAAAAAGGCAAAATAAATATAATAGTAACATTCATTGCAGGGTTACTGTGTTTCAGGCATTGTTCTAAGTGCTTTGCACATACTAATTAATTTAATCCTTACCACAACTCCACAAGACAAATATCATTATTATTCCTATATTATAGTTGGGGAAGCTGAGACACAGAGGTATGATAACTTGCCCAGAGTAACACGGCTAGCAAATGGCAGAGCCAAGATACGCACCCAGGAGGTCTGGCTCTGGCGTCTGTACTCTCTGTGCTATTCTGACTGGAGAAGGGAGGCTGGGAATGGAATTGACCTGTGGCCCATGATTTCCACTCCTGGAAAAGTAACAAAAAGGTTACAGCTCTTTGTAGTTGGCTGGGACAGTCATCTGGGACTCTATACAGGGCTCAGTGGGGCTGTGGGCAGAGGCCCTCTGTCTTCTGCTCTCTTCCCCTTCCCCCATCACAGGCAACTGGAAGGACTGATCTCAGGCTCAGAACAAGATGCAAGGTGGGTGCCATCTGCACCTCTTGGCATGGCATGGCATTGCATAGGAATAAGAGCCAGCCTGTCTTCTAACATCCCCTCACACCTGTCCCACTGTGCTCAAAAGAATCAAAGTGCCATCTGTCCAAATGGTCAGCCTCTCTGGCAAGGACACTTTGAATGGATTCCCAAGGTGGGTGGGGTCTGGCTTTCCCACTTCTTCAGCCAGCTGCAAGCACACCTCTGACATTGCTGTGGAGTTTAGCTCCTCCAAAGCCCTTCTCTGAATGCCCCTGCTGCCTAACAGCCTTGGGGACTAGGCAGGGCTAAAAGAAAAATATTGAATAAGGTATACAGTCCTTCCCCTCCCTGCTCTGTCCCTCTGCTGTTCTCTCTCCCAGCTCTACCTTTTAAAAAGGAAAATTCTCTTTGCCATGGCTAGTTCTTTTGCTTAGAGGTTGTATGTGGTGCACCAGCAGCGCAGGGCAGGCTAGATTGTTCTGCATGAGAAAAACAGATCTGGGAGGAGGGAATAAGGACTGGAGAAGTAAGCTGTGGTGGGGCAGGGGGAAATGAGAAAAAAGAGCAGAGGGGATGAAGAGCTGCAGAGGAGTGGTGAGGGGAGGTGGTCAGGAGAGAGAGGGAGGAGGATTTCTGGGGGATTGGATGTGGGGTGTTGTGTGGTATAATTCCCCTTCACTGTTGCCTCAGGGACCTTCAGTAATGTTGCCTTTCCAGGCTTTTTAAGGCTCAGATCTGTGTTTGAGATGCCTTCATATGAGATGGCCTCAAGGCAGCCCTTGGGTGCCCCCAGTTTGGAATGATGCACCTGAGAGGCCAGGGGTGGGACACAGCAGGGACGTGAGATCGGCCAGCAGGCTTCCAGCATGGGACCTCCATGTAGCAGCCTCCTGGTGGCCCTGAGTCTCCTCAAGCTGCTGGCTTCTCCTTTTAGAATGAAGCAATGTTGAAAGGCTATTTCCCCTCACTTGGGGCCTGATGCAGGGGTTCCAGACCACAAAGATACCCCAAACTTGAAAGAGCCACAGTTGAAGAGGTGGGTGAAGGAGAGGTGGGGTCTGGAGCGCCTCCTAGCATTTAGTGCTCTGGCTCCACCCAGCTCCTTTTCCGGCTGCTACCCTCCACAACCCAACACCCCGGGTTTAACTGAAATTCACTGTTGCTTTACAGCCATGCTCAGCTCATTTCTGCCTCTGGGTTTCTCACACACAGTGCTTGCTCTAGGAGCAGCTTCCCTCTCTCTGTCCTTTGAATTCCTCCCAGTTCAAGCCCCACCAGTGCTCCCTGATTCTTTCTTCCCCTGACCACCCACAGCCTGGAGCATCTGGCCAACTCTTGCCTTGTCTGGAGGGTGGCCGTGGGACAGCTCTTGTTGTCTCAGCTTTCACACACATGGGGCCACATGCCCCCCACCCCAGTCCTCTGCCTGTCTGCCTCTGGGCAGAGCCCAGCATGAGGCTGGCCCAGCCTGCACCAAAGTGCTCCCCACGTCTGTTTGCTGAATTCCCACTCAGCCTTCGACATCTGGTTCAGATGGTCCCTCCCTAGATGTCTTTCCTGACTCCTTGGTCTGGGTCATGGGCATCCTCTGGGTACCCCCTCCCCCCAGCCATGCTTCCCCTTTGTCATAGCCCTGATATGACTGTGCCAGTGTCTGTACCTCCAGCAGTTGGGAGCCTGTAAGGGGCAGGCTGGGACTCATTCTTCTGGGGTCCCAGAACAAACCCAGGTCTGAGCACACAGTGTCAGTAAAGGTTTGCTAAATGAATGGAATATCACCCCCCTCCCCAAAGAGCTCATATTCATCCCTGAAAACCGATCTGAAATGCCCATTCGCAGGAGCTCTTACTTCCTTCTCCCATCATCCCTCACCCTCTTCATTGGTGACTCCAAAGTATGTAGCATACCCCTCGATTACAGTACATAGCACACTATAATTTTGTAAGCAGCTTAACATGGTTTCCCCAACTCTCCATGGCTGACTGGGAACTTCTCAAGGGTCAGAGCCTGGTCCAGGGAAGGGGCTCAATAAATAGTGGTTGGTGAGATTTTGGGGTCCATGAGGGACCTTACTCCATGGCCAGCTGCTCCAGGCGTCCTGCCCTGGAGAACTCAGTGACCCTGTTTGTGCACTTGGCTGTGAGTTTCCGTATTAGCTCATGTGGCCGCTGGCGGAACTTCTTCTGGGTGAAGTAGAAGAGGATAGGATCCAGCACACTGTTGGCACTAGCGAAGGGCCGTGTGCCTTTGTAGGTGGCTGCAAAGGCCTCCAGCACAGGGCAGGGGACACCCGACATAGAGCGCACTGCCAGGTAGGCTGTCTTGGTGATGTGGAAAGGCAAGAAGCTGATGGCAAAGGCAGCTGCCACCACCACAGCCATGCGGGCCGCCTTGCTACGCCGCTCCTGGGCCACAGGCCCTGCCGGGCCATCCTGGCGGCACAGGCGGCGGGCCAGGCAACAGTAGCAGGCCAGCAGGGCAGCAAAGGGCATCAGGAAGCCGACAACTGTGAGGGCCATTCCATAGGGCATGTAGCGGGTGGCCAGGGCGGGTGGGCTCAGGTCATAGCAGACAGTACGGTTCCGCTGGATGCCTGTGGTGGCAAAGACAGCTGTGGGCAGGCACTGGGCTGTCACGGCCAGCCACACAGCTCCACACACAAGCCAGGCAGCCCGGCGGCCCCCACGCTTGTGCCAGGGTGCCAGTGGGTGGCAGATGCCCAGGTAGCGCTGGAAGCTGATGCAGGTAAGGAAGAGGATGCTGCCATGCAGGTTGGCATAAAAGAGGAAGCGCACCAGACGGCAGGCGAGGTCACCAAAGGGCCAGTAGTCACCTTGGGCATAGTTGTAGATGAGCAGTGGCAGGGAGCAGGCATACAGCAGGTCAGCCAGGGCCAGGTTTAGGGTGTACACGGCTGTGCGGGTCAGGGTCCGGCGGGACGTGCAGATCTGGGCAATGACGCAGACATTCAGTGGCAGGCCTGCCGCCAGCACCACTGAATACACAGGTGGCAGCAGCAGTCGCTTGAAGTCTTCACGGTAGACACAGGTGGTAGGTGGCAAGCCCAGGGCCTGGTCTGTGCCATTGTCCCACTCCATGGCTGCCCAGTTGGGCTTCCTACATTCGGAGAGGCTGGGGAAGCAACACACCATCTGTCAGTGACATGCTCACTGACCACCCAGTAGATCCCCTCTGGGCTTTGATCTCCCCTACTGAGCAATGAGGACACCAACTTTGTCATCTCTTATACTCGCCACCCCATGGAGGCCCCACACAGCCTTCACTTCAAGGAAACTTGGAATACAATAAAGCTCAAGTGTGGGAGAAATCAATTCACTGACTTTCTATAGTACAGTACTCGCTTCCCATCAGCCTCCCTGGTGAACTTCTAGTCACCCTTCAAAACCCTGGTCAAATGTCTCCTCTGTTAGTGGAGGTTGATGGACTTGGTTTTAAATCCCAACTCTTCTACTTACTAGCTATGTGATCTACCTTCTCTGAGTCTCAGTTTCCCCACCTGAGAAATGGGGGAATGATGCACCCACCTCTCAGGGTTGTCATGAGGTTAGAAGCACTAAATCATGCTATGTGCAGGGTTTCCCCTGGGCTCCCTGGGGTGTGGAGATTGTGGTCATGTGGGGTCTGCCTGTCTCTCACAGACTGGGATCCTCTGAGGAGAATGCCAGGTCTTGGTGCCTCTCTGTGTCTTAGAGCCCAGTCCCAGCTCCAGGGCAGAGGGGGCCCTGGTAACTCTTAGTTAAGCAGTATGAATGGTCCACACACCATGAGCTCACTGAGGACAATGCCCACTTCCAAAGCCATGGTCCCTTCTTTTGGCCACAGTCTTGTTATCTGTAAAATAGGGGAAGGAGTTGATTTAGGAGTTCTCAAAGGCCTTTTTCCACTTGAGGCTACAAAGGTGGGTCTAGCAGAGCCACTGACACCACAGCACCCCCTCGTGGTTACAGTGAAAACCGCTTCACTGAAGGCACATGGGTGAGGGACCAAGTCAACAGCTCACTATTTACAGAGACAGAAATCCAGACACACTTACAGCAGGGATTGTTCAGTCTTACTCGGTGAGTTAGAAGCAGAGCCAGAACCAGAACCCAACTGCATGATTCAGAGGAGGCAGCTTTGTGTAGCCCGCAGACATGACATGTAGAGGTTACAAGCCCCACTTGAGAACTAGGCAGGCCTGGACTCTCCACTTCTATGCTGTGGGACCCAGGGAATGCCACTTGCCTTTTCTGGGCCTATGTCTTCATCAGTAAAATGTGCCATGGACCTGGCATTCAGTAGGTGCTCAATAAATGCCATGCCATTGCGTCCTACACCTTGCCCGCCTCTCATTTGTTTGGGCTGGGTTTTGGGGGAGCCAGCAGCACAAATGTCTTAAGGGATCCCCTGATGTGGTAAGTCTGACTCCTGGATACTCACTTCTAAAGTGTCTTTTCCATATTACCGGTGACTAGAGAGAACTTACAACTTAAATCCAATGGACCTGTAGGGCAAAGCCTTCGAGATAGTGAGTCTAATCCTCCCCTCTCCCTATGTTACAGATAGGAAAAACTAAAGCCCAGAAAAAATATGAAGTCCTGCCAATGCACTCAGAGGGTGGTGAAGGGTTGAGGCCAAATATATGGACTCTGGTCCAGACGCCCAGGTTCAAATCCCAGCTCTGCCACGTGTGAGCTGTGTGGCCTTGGTCACATTACTAAACCTCTGTGCCTCAGTTTCCCTATCTGTAAAGTGGGATAATATAGTACCTACCTCATAAAGTTGTTGCGAGGATCAGTGCCTGACACAGGGTTAAGTGTTAGTTGTTTTGTTTTGTCTTGTTTTTTAAAATTTATTTTGATTTATCAGTATACAATGTAGTGGATTTTCTTGTCCCTTTACCAATTCCTCCTTTTCCCCCCTTCCCCCCATCAACGTCATATCTGTTCACTTGTCTTAAGTTCAAGGAATTGTTGTGATTGTTGTGTATTCTCCTCCCCCGCCGTTTATTTGTTTGCATATTTATTTATTTATAGCTCCCACAAATAAGTGAGAACATGTGGTATTTCTCTTTCTGTGCCTGGCTTATTTCACTTAATATAATTTTCTCTAAGTCCATCCATGTTGTTGTGAATGGTAGTTTTTTTTTTTTTAATAGCAGAGTAGGTTTCCACTGTGTAGATATACCAAAGTTTCCTTATCCACTCATCTGATGATGGGCATTTAGGCTGGTTCCAACTCTTGGCTATTGTAAAGAGTGCTGCGATGAACATTGGGGAACAGGTATACCTTCGACTTGATGATTTCCATTCCTCTGGGTATATTCCCAGCAGTGGGATAGCTGGGTCATATGGTAGATCTATCTGCAATTGTTTGAGGAACCTCCAAACCATTTTCCATAGAGGCTGCACCATTTTGCAGTCCCACCAACAGTGCAGGAGAGTTCCTTTTTCTCCGCGTCCTCGCCAGCATTTATCACTCTCAGTCTTTCGGGTATTAGCCGTCCTAACTGGAGTGAGATCATATCTCAGTGTGGTTTTGACTTGCATTTCCCAGATGCTGAGTGATGTTGAGCATTTTTTCATGTGTCTGCTGGCCATTTATATACCTTCCTTTGAGAAATGCTTATTCTTGCTCTTTTGCCCATTTTTTAATTGAGTTACTTGTTTTTTTGCTGTTAAGTTGTTTGAGTTCCTTGTATGTCCTGGATATTAGTCCTTTGTCAGATGTATATTTTGCAAATATTTTCTCCCAAATGTTAGTTGTTTTCAATGTGAATATACCTGCTAAGTAAGCTTATAGGATTTTAAAACTATATTAGAGCAAAACTTATTCCTCCCAACTTAAAATCTGATTTATTTTTTTATTTTTTTGAGACTGGCCGCACCGCGCTCAGCCAGTGAGTGCACCTGCCATCTCTATATAGGATCCGAACCCGCGGCGGGAGCGCTGCTGCCCTCCCAGCACTGGACTCTCCCGAGTATGCCACGGGCTCGGCCCTAAAATCTGATTTTGATGAAAATATTTTACCCAAATTCTGGGCAAAATGATAATGTTTGGATTCTCTAGTCGGCATCCCACAGCCCATACCACTCCCCTGCCTCAGGTGACTGGAGGCTCTTGCTGCTTTCTGCCCCTCCTACTCCCTGGTGACTGGTCCTCCAGGGACCCCCTCTCCTCCCTCTTGTAAGGAAGCAGGGGGCTCCAGGAGGGGATCCAGGGAGTCGTTCTGCCCTCTGGGCAAACCTTCAGGGCCGTGCCAGGAAAGGCAGGCCTGGCTGCTGCGTTGGCCTCCCCATCCACTCTGCCTCTGAGGACCTGGGAGGGCTGAGCTGTTCTCCCAGCTCCTGGCAGCAGCTGACATTGGTTCTCACAAAACCTCCACTGCTTCTTGGGCCCTAAGCCCTGAACTAGCTCAAACCCCAGCCTCTTCCTGGGCTCCAGCTAATCTGCCCGTGGCGGAGGGCTTTCTAACAGGTGGCCCTGACTACATCCTTCCCTGCTTCCCTCTGCCCTTTGGAGAAAAGTCCCCCCTCCTCTCTCTTGACGTTCAAAGCCCCTGCCAAGCCTTCCAGCCCCATCCAAAGGATCTGGGTTCACTCCACTCTGCTCCTCATTCCTACGCCTTCCTCTTTCGTCACACTTTCTCCAAGACATGGAGACTGCCACAGCCACTGGCAGCCACAGATACAGATTCCCTCTCTGGCAGAACTCCCCATCTTTGCTATTCCCTTCATGCAAACTGCCATTCAGCCCATCTCCATTTGTCAAAACCCTAAGTGCCATCAAGCGCCAGATCCCATCTTGCTTCTTCCTTTTCTGATCCCCCAGCTTGGTGGAATCCTTTCCTCTGCACCCCCCACCCCCCACAACTCTGAGGGCCTCCTTCAGATCAGTGCTGGACCAGGCTGCCTGCCCAAAGTCACAAGTCCTTGTGTCCAGCCACCCCTAACTCCACCCCACACTGGCCATGGCCCCAAGATGCACTGACACTCACATTCAGCCTCCTGTCCCGCAGCATGTCGGTGGTCCCAAGTGTGTTGAGGCAAAGGGAAGCCAGACCCGAGGCTCCCACTCTCTGCCCTCAGGCAGGCTGCAACACCTCCGATGGGGAGGGCAGCTTCCTCTGTTTCCTGGCCGGCTGTCTCTGACTGAAATAGCGGGGCCACCGCCTCCCTGCTGCCCCCAGCACCACTGCCTGGCGGAAACTGGGCCTAGAGGAGCAAGGAGGCGGAGAAAAGGCGTCCTTCCAGGAATAGCCAGGGAAAGAGGGGGATGAGGGGACAGAGGAGTGGGGGAGGACCAGAGGCTGCTGGCCAAAGGCCTGCCCCACAGACTCAGCCGTTTTCTTTCTCCTTGGCCCTTCCTCAGTCTTCTCATCTGTCAAATGGGCAGACTGGTGATTCAAGATTCTTGGCTCCTCCTTAAGCTGTAACACCAGAGCCACTGGGTGTGCATTCATCTTCCAGTCATTCCGTCCTTCCTTTCTTCACTCAGCCAATAACTCATTCACCGACACGTCCACCTACCCCTTACATATTCACTTATTCAGCCGTCTTCTCCCTGCCTCCTTACCTCTTTTCCTTTTCTCCACAAACATTTATTGAGCACCCACTGTATGTCCTCAGATCCTCCCACATTCCCCCATTAGCAGCCACTGCCCCTTCCACACACAGGCGCAGAGCTCACGAGGAGTGATGGTGTGGGTTATGGGGACAGAAGAGATGCCCCTGAGAACACACCCAAGTGAGAGTCTTCCTGCCTGTGCCAAACTCTCCTCCCATCTCACCACCAAACCAGGCCTCACCTGTTAGGACAAACAGAGGAGATGTGGCTCTTCACTCTCCTGGGAGGCCAGATCCAGGCCTGGAGGCAGCATTCAAGGAGGGTGGCCTCAAGGAGGTGGCTTTGGTTTGGAGCAGCTGGGGCAACTGGGGGAGGGGCCAGGATAGTGCCGGGACAGAGCATTGTCCTGGAGTTCAGGGCCAGGTTCTTGTCATGCCTTTGCCACAGCTCACTGTCTGTCTCTGGACAAGCCCCCTCCCCTCCCTGAGCCTCATGGTAGAATGTGGCCATACTGACTACCAGTGTGTTGAGAGCATGAACTGCCAGAGGGAGTTAGGATTCTTTTT